AATTCATTGTCATACCAGGAAATGAGCTTTACAAAGTTGTCATTGGGCACAGTGACAGCCCCAGCATCAAAGGTGGAAGAGTGGGAGTCACTGTTGAAGTCGCAGGAGACAACCTGGTCCTCGGTGTAGCCCAGGATGCCCTTCAGTGGGCCCTCGGATGCCTGCTTCACCACCTTCTTGATGTCCTCATACTTGGCAGGTTTCTCCAGGCGACATGTCAGATCCACAACGGACACGTTGGGGGTAGGAACACGGAAGGCCATGCCAGTCAGCTTCCCGTTCAGCTCTGGGATGACTTTGCCCACAGCCTTGGCAGCGCCAGTGGATGCTGGGATGATGTTCTGGGTAGCCCCACGGCCATCACGCCATAGCTTCCCGGAGGGGCCATCCACAGTCTTCTGGGTGGCAGTGATGGCATGGACCGTGGTCATGAGTCCTTCCACAATGCCAAAGTTGTCATGGATGACCTTGGCCAGGGGGGCTAAGCAGTTGGTGGTGCAGGACGCATTGCTGACAATCTTGAGGGAGTTGTCATACTTGTCTTGGTTCACACCCATCACAAACATGGGGGCATCAGCAGAAGGGGCGGAGATGATGACCCTCTTGGCCCCGCCCTTCAAGTGGGCCCCAGCCTTCTCCATGGTGGTGAAGACGCCAGTAGATTCCACAACATACTCGGCGCCAGCATCACCCCATTTGATGTTGGCGGGATCTCGCTCCTGGAAGATGGTGATGGCCTTCCCGTTGAATGCAAGCTTCCCATTCTCAGCCTTGACTGTGCCTTTGAACTTGCCATGGGTAGAGTCATACTGGAACATGTAGACCATGTAGTTGAGGTCAATGAAGGGGTCATTGATGGCAACAACTTCCACTTTGCGAGAAGTGAAGGCAGCCCTGGTAACCAGGCGTCCAATACGGCCAAATCCGTTCACGCCGACCTTCACCATTGTGTCTCCGGAGCGAGGCTGGCACTGCACGAAAAGATGCGGCTGTCTCTAGAACAGGGAGGAGCAGAGCTAAAAACAGTCATTTTTTATTAATTCTTTGTAGTAGGGAATTCATTGGAGAACATTATTGTAGCACAAGTGCTTTCTGGAGGAGTCACATTGCTCTATAATTTTCTTTGTATTTTTATATTGACACTTGTGCAATCGTGATGAGGTCATTCATAGCACTTTTTTCAGTTACTCTTATTCTTTCAGGGGAAATGTTTACAATATTGGAAAGAGACCAGGTTTAGTGTAGTTAAAGCATCATTTTTCTGTGGTAGACTGGCATGGAGGTAAACTAGTTCTCCATGAATCTGCCACTAGTTTGCCAGTGACCTCAGGAATTGCCTCCCTCCCATGTCCAGGCTACAGTCACACACTGCTATGTCAGGTGTTTTACATGGGTGATGGGGCTCCAAACTCAGGTCTTTATACTTACTTATAAGCGTCTTACCAACTGAGCCATCCCTCCTGTCCCTGTTCCTGTGTTTTATCAAGTTTTTGTCCATCTGAATGTGAAATAAATACTGTTCCAGGAAGCAATTTAGCTTTTCTCTAAAGGAACTTAATTGTTCCTGAAGGACTTTTTTCTTTGTCTCCACAACATCTGCATTTTTAGGAGCATAGGTAAGTACAAAATTGTAAAATGTCATATCTCATGAAAGAAGGCCTCATGCAAACTGCATCATGAGAGCCACCTTCACTCAGTCTTCCACTTCCTACATACCTCATCAGAAATTTCAAGATAATTTGTCAGAATATCAATAGGAAACCCTTTGGGGTATTCTGAAAAAGAAGAAGAATTTAAATAGAAAACAGCAATTCTTTCAAAAAATTGCTGGGCATCATGACAGCCCTCTTGTTACCTGCTATAAGCTCGCTCACATGTCATCCTTCAGACTGACTCTCCCACTTCAGAAGGGCATAAGACACAAAGAAGGCAAATCCAGACAGGCAGCTGCTAGTTTCAAACTAGTCAATTCAGGGAAGCCAAGACTCAGCAGCCATAGGATGGAACGCTCTCAGAAGTCTCCACCAGGACTACTCCCATCAGGACTCAGGAGATTTACTTTCAAAGATGTCAGTCATGTGGGAAATGGGGCAAAAATAGGCACCTGAACAGAAAACTAACTTTGAGTCTCAAGCGGACAAGTTTTGGGGTGATGTTAGACCTACCAAGCTGTTGGAAAGCTGAGCCAGTAAATGCTAATGGAGCAGACAGTACAGCAACAACCTTGTCCTGCTGCCACACAGACCTGCCACCAAGAAGAAGTATACACTCAGAAGAAGTATAGCTGTTCTATGAAAAAGATCATGGTAATGATTGATAGCTAGGTTTTTATTCTCTGATACTTGCATTTATGCACACAAAGTGCTTTTGATTTTATAAATACCGACAAAAAAACAACACATCATTCTTCCCCTGCCCCCCATGGTACAAAAGAGCTTTTGAAAATGAGAGTATTCCTCTTCTGTTAAAGTGAAGAATGAAGAAATAAAGCAATTAATTCATTGATTTATTCCCAGGATGAATAAGCTAAGGGAAATTAAGCAGGGTGATATAGGGATACTAGAAAGCATCCCACACTCCAGAAGACGCTATCAATGTGAGGTGTGTTTCAAGAATGGAAAGATTTATTAAAATGATTGTGTCCAGAAGTAGGTAGACAGGTAGAGAAGAGGGACAAGGCAAAAGTCAAGAAGCAAATACTCCACAATTGTTAAGTTAACACCTTTGATCATCAACTCAGTAGATTACCCTCCTTGCATTTGCTTCAGTTCTGTTGCTGTGATCAAACACCCTAAGAAGGTCATTAGAGATGGCTAAGTGGTTCAGAGCACTGATGCTCTTTCAAAAGACCCAGGTTCGATCTCTACCACCTACACGACAGCTCTCACTCATCTCTATTTCCAGTCCCAGAGGACCCAACATCTTTTGGACATCAGACACTCATGTGGTACATAGATAAACATGCAGGCAAAACACCCATACACATTAATAGATAAAAGTACTTTTAAAAAACACCCTGAACATAAACAACTTAAGATAAATAGGGCTTATTTTAGCTCCCAAGTAAGAGTTTCTGTCTAGGACATGAGGAAGATAAGAGCAGCAGGCAGTCAAAGCATTTGGCTACTCCTGGCCACACTACTTCCACAAATCAGGAAGCAGAGACCCATGGAGTCAGGTTGTTTCTTTTCTTGAGCTGAGGTTCTAAGGCGCTGCTATGTAAAGGTTAACAATGGCCTGCCAAGCATTGCCTAGGATCTCATGCCAAGCCCTGAGATTTGGCTCCCAACAGGAAATCAGTATGGCGGTTGCTCAGAAAAATGGGAATCAGTCT